TGTTTTTTCAGTGTTACAATGTAGGATAATTGAAAAACTTTTTATTTTGAGAAACGATGAAAACAAAATACTCTTTAAGAGTTTATTACAACGGAAGCAAAAGAAAGCTTGGAACTCTATTCCACGGTCTTCTCTTTTGTACGGAGCTCCTCTGTTAGCTGGTCAATGCGATCCTGCAACGCTGCTTTCTCGATGATGAGCCGTTCCACACATTCTTTCCAAGCCATGGTAGTTGAGGGGAGATCATCATTGGTGACAGCACTTGAAGAGGCATGAGGAGAAAATAAATCTCCTTGCGCCTTTCTCTTTCTGGCAACTTCTAATTCTGGTGTCTTCTGAAGTCTTTCCTTCTCTACTTTGAGGGTGAAGAACTTATTCTTCCAGGCAGTCCTCAACTTCCGGGCTTCATCCAAAGCAATCCTTACTTGTTCAATTTCCTCCTCTTCGAACCAGTCGGGGTCGTGAGGAGATAATACCATAGGTTCATGGAAAGGAAAAGGCATCTTGAGATCGAGAGCCCTTTCTCGCACCCAATGTAGATATTCTTCAGAGACAGTACAATCGGGGTATCCTGAAGCAGCTGTTCCTTTTCTGTCAATGTATTTCCATGCATAAATGATGACAGTCTTTAGGTCTAGGTCCTCTTCTCCTTTGAAGTAGATCTCTTCCGATGAAGCCAGGTCAGGCACTTGGATCATAGGGTGTCCAAACTGTCTACGGGCCAAAGCGGGATTGTAACTTATACATCCTTCTCTTCCAATAAGCGGTACGTTGGGGAATCCTCCGATGCTAGGAATCATAGGCACGCCTCCACAGGCGGGATCATACCAGACAATGTCCGAATGGGTAAGGGCCATAAGTATCTCGGGCCATCGAGGTGTTGCTACTTCATCCCAAAGGGACGGGTACCGAGTCAAACGAGTGATGAACCATGAGTACAGCAAGGCGGTACAACATATAATGTGTCCTCCTCCTTCGGCATTCTTCGAGTGAATCGAGAAGTACGTATCAGCAAGCAAGGTGGGTACTGGATTCTTGAGTATGAACAACTTGATTGCATCCATATCAATAAAGTTGTCGATTTTAGGGAACCAGAAAGTCCCATAGACCAATAAAGCGAAATTGTCTTCCGATATGAGAACCTCCTTTCTTTCGGCGTGGTAACGGACTTTTTTGATCAAAAAGTCGGCAGGGAACCCAAGGACTCCTTCCTTGGTGGTTAGGTGTGTCTGGACATCTTCTAGGCTGAGATGGGTAGCGTTTGCAATTTCCTGGTGACTGGGCGTGTCTTCTCTTCCGGTGAATAGGGGTCGAACAGTCACAGGCATCCTCAAAAGCTCTGAGTACTCTTCCAAGGTCGGCATCAATTGGTAGTCCGGAAAAGTGAAGCAGTGATACATCGGGTCGTAAAATTGAACCAACGTTTCCAACAATCCTTCTTTCATCCTTAGCTCAAGGAAGCGAAAGACTCCTCCATATTCTGCTGCGAAGGCAAAGCGATCCTCGACGAATTCGGCTAGCTCTCTCAAGCTTTCGAGGTTGGGACTCTGAAAAGTGTACTTCAGGGTTTCTCTTCTGAAATCCATGATTACAACACCTACAGAACGAATTTGAGTTTCTTGAAGTGAACAATGGAAAAGAATGCAATGCAAGATGATTAGGACTTCATGGGATTCCTCTATTTATAGGCATTGCGGTAAAAGAAAACGTTTTATTAAATTTGAAACGGACTACATAAATATTCTTTTAAAGAGTCCCAAATAAAAGCTAAATAAAAGCTAGTAAAGACACTAAAGAAGCTTTGAATGCTGCTGCTTGAGCTGCTCTTCTAGTTGCGCCTTCTCACGGATAAGGTTGTCCACAATTATTTTCCAAATAGTGCATTGTGGGTCGGAGAAAAATAAATCCTCCATGACTTTCCTCTTCTTGCAGGGGAGTAGCTCTTCATCCTTCAATTGTAGCTGTTTCTGAAGTTCATCCTTCTTCTCTTGAAGTTCAGCATTCTGCTTTTGAAGTTCAACCTTCTCCTTCTGAAGTTCAGCATTCTGCTTTTGGAACTCAGCATTCTGCTTTCGACACTCATCTTTTTCTGCCACTGCCACCTGGCACTTGTTCCTCCAAGATTCCAGCTCATGTTGAGATTTCCTTAAGGACACCTCTAACTCCTCGGCTTTAGACATAAAGACATAAGTGGGCTCTCTCCTGGGAGCTATGGGATCTTGACGGGAATAAGGCATCTTTAGATCGGTTGCCCTTTTTCTGACCCACTGGAGGTATGGTTCTAAAGATACGCAGTTAGGCTTCCCTAGACTTCTCTTCCCTTTCTTGTATACCCTACGCCATGCGTCCAGAACTCTTCCTAGAAGCTCTATATCATCTTTGAAAAACATACCCTCTACTTGAACACTTTTGGGAGGTTCCTTCAACGGGTATCCCAATTGTCGACGGGCTAAGATAGGATTATAGCTGATTCCTCCATCAAAGCTGAGCAATGGTACATTAGCAAAGTCACCGCAGCTATCAATGATCAACACTCCATCATAGACTCGGTTGTACCAATCAATGTCAGAATGGGTCAAGGCCATAACCCTGGGAGACCAGTGCTCTTTGCCAATGTTTGTAAAAGAGCTAGACTTCGGCAAGTGCGAAATAAACCACTTGTAAAGCAGAGGTACATAGCAAGTAATCATCCCTCCACCACGGAGGTTTCGGAGATGTACAGAGTGATATGTATTCCCCAACAAAGTTGGTACTGGGTTGTTCTTCGTAAAGATCTTGAATGCCTTGAGATCGATGAACCCTTCGAAACTTGGGAATAAGAACATCCCATAAACAAGCAAAGCAAAAATTGCCTCAAACGGAGCCTTATTAGAATAACCAGCATAGAAGGAAGCTTTCTCGATTAGGAAACCTGTCTTTAAACCAAGGATCCCATTCTTAGTAACTAGGTTAGCTTTGACGTCAGACACCTTCAAACGGAGAGCTTTAGCAATATCTTTCTCATCAGGGTCCTTTTCCAAGAAGGGAAAAGGAGATTCCTCAAGGACAGGTAAACCAACCAAAAAAGAATACTCTTCTAATGTAGGTAACAGCTGAAAGTCTGGAAAGGTGAAACAATGGTAGAGAGGATCATAGAACTGTAGTAGAGTGGCAAGAAGTCCTTCATTCACTGAGCAACCCAACAAGGATATCAGCTTCCCATACTTGGTCTTGAATCCTTCTTGATCTTCGATGAAACCCCACAACTTCTTTAGGTCATCCAATTTGGGACTCTTAAAAGTATATTTCACAGTATGTCTTTTATCTGAAGTCATAGTGACCTACAATGTCCATAAACGAAAGTAAATCCCATGAAGTCCAATGCAGAATGATGTTACATGAATGCAGCAAACACAAGTATTCACATAAGGATAATAAAGATAAACAAACAAAGGGGGTGCCCTAGGTTTGCAACGAGCATGGAGTAAAGGTGTACCCTTCCCAAAAGGTTTAAGGACCAAATGTTGTTTTGTACCTGTAGAACAAGGTTCTAATAAGGTTCCCAAAGTCATTAGCCCATCTTTCGGATATTATCAACTTCCCAAGTACTCGAGGGTTAATAATATTCTTAAGAGAACTTCTTCTGAGTGTAGCATCGTGTAGCACTATTTCGGGGGTACCCCCTCATAGTCTCGCACTACGTCCTAATAAAGGCCAAAGTTGGGTTAAGGTAACTACGGTCCTCAATATCATAGGCTCCAAAGTCGAAAGTAGTGAGTGTCTTCACGATTGATCGTTCAACAGTACTATTTCGAAAGGGCCTCAACTGAGCGGGATTTTCGATTCAACTTAGTAGGGATTCCACTCCCTATAAGCCTCCTCGAATATATCCCATCCTATCTTAATTTCTCTCAAAGTTCGGGTGCAGAACTTTATCTCACCGCTCAAGGACAACAATCCCAAAAGAAACATAAGAGAAAGCATGTAAACAATTAATCAAGTAGGCAGATATATAAAGCAGTAAACAAAACAAAATAAGATAGGGAAACCCACTAGAGAGACTCCCCAGTGAAAGTCGCCATTTCTGTCGCGGTGAAAATCGGATACCAAACTATTGATTAGTTTGAATCTTTAATTCATTTTGCAACCGAACTTTGATTTGTCCAAAGGAAGGGATAAAGATCGAAATTCCCACAATGCAATGCAAATGCAAGCTAGATTGTTTTAGGTTCGGGGGTTGGTTAAACTTAGGATGCTAGTACCTTCCCTAAGTTTAACCAACCCCCGAACCTAAAACAATCTAGCTTGCATTTGCATTGCATTGTGGGAATTTCGATCTTTATCCCTTCCTTTGGACAAATCAAAGTTCGGTTGCAAAATGAATTAAAGATTCAAACTAATCAATAGTTTGGTATCCGATTTTCACCGCGACAGTGTGTTGCTGGAATATGAGTAGAAACAGATTTGGTTGGAAGGAAGTGAAGAATGGGAGAGATAGAAATATTATCCCTAGATGTTCCATATGGTCGGATAGGAGTGGGAAACATATTGAGGAAAATGAAGTTACTACCTCATTTTTCTTTACTGAATTCTCTGAAGATTATGGAGCTAAAGAGATGTTCAAGGTGTTTAAGGAACATGGGCTGGTTTCAGAAATTTTCATACATGCAAGGAGAGATAAGAGGGGGAAAAGATACGGTTTTGTCAGATTCAGAAAGGTGAAAGATGAAAGAATTTTGGCAGTCAACCTTGATAGCATCATGATCAAAGGGCGCAAAATCTTTCCTAATACTCCTAGGTTCTAAAGGAGTACGGGGGTTGCGAAGGGGAAGTAACACTTGAGGGTAACAGACGTGGGCAACAAAGGAGATAACCCTCAAGGCAAGTTGGCGAACAATGGTGTTCCAAGGAGGTCATACGCTCAAGTTGTTGGTAAAAAAACTGATGAGTTGATTAGGCGTTATGATACGGAGGATAAACCAAAGTTTGCCCACTTATAATTTGACATTGAGGAGAAGGAAATGGAAAGATTTAGAAAAGCATTTTTTGGGTTAGTATTTAAGGAAGGATCCACATATAATGTGCAAAAAGCATTGAATGTGAAGGGTTATTTCATGATCACTGCAACCCCCATATGGGCTAATCTTTTCCTGATGGAAGAATCCTCGCTTGGAGATATTAATACAATGATAAAGGAAGATGAGGCTTGGGTGAAGAAGTGGTTCGATGATATCCACCCTTGGTTGCTGGCGGACATTGATAACGAACGCTTAACATGGATGAAATGTTACGGATTGTCATGTCATGCATGAAACAACTGATTTTCACCTTTATTTCTAGGTGTGTGGGCAAATTCATTGCCTGCAATGTGAATACAGAGAAACATAAATTTTTGGATGTTGCAAGATTTTTTATTAAAATCAAGTATACTTCAAATATTAACGAAGTCTTCAATGTTGAAATTAATGACAACATTTGTAGAATCAAATTGGTCGAGGATTTTCACAGTCCTAAGAAAATCACGATGCGATGGAATAGTTGGAAAAGCAGCGAGTCGAAAATGGAAGAAACCGAAGAAGACTCAGACAGTGACGACGGCGTTTCGGAAACTTCAGAAGAGGGGGAAGATGAAGACAGTGGGAATCGTAATTCTCGAGAAAGTCAGGCAGGTGACAAAATAGTGGAGCAGTTGGATAGGTCAAATCCATTAATAAAGGGAACTAGTTTGATTAAGAAGGTGATAATACGTGATGATGCTGGAGTGTCAAGAAAAAGGAGTTTCTTGGAGGTAGCGGAAAAGGTGATATCAGGTGTAGAGAAGTTAGGGTACCTATGAGAGCCAATGTGATAGAGACATGAATAGTTAATATGGGACTAAATGAAGCGGTTGGGGGAACGTGTTATTAGAAATAGGCTATGAAGGCATTGGATCTTGTGGGACTTGACTTGGTCATAACTTACCCATTGGGCGCTAATGGGTCAATTGGGTCAGTAAAGGACTCCAAACAAAGGAAGACAAAGACGTTAAAATAATTATACAACAAAATCAAAATTCCCTTTTCTCTCTTATATTATTTTGTGCTAACTAAAGCAATGAATAATCAAGATGAATCTTTGATTGTACCTGCTACGGATCCTGGTGATTTTAAGGATACAATTGTAGTAAAAGACTCAAACTCTAATTACTCAGGGGGGTTCTATACTTTGTTGTGAATTCATCAGTGATGGAGATGTTATTCAAGGAAATTCTCATATAAATAAATCTTTAGAGGATGTTCCTACAAAGTTATGGCATTTGATTAAGGAATCGAAGGTATTATACTTTATTGTAAAATTCCCTTTGTTGTGAATCGAAGGTATTATTAGAAATTTGGAAGCCAGGGATAGGAAATTCTTTGAAGGTAAGAAGGGGAATGAGATTAGGGTTGCATGAACCTAATCTCATATAATGTGAGAAGGTGTTGCTCTTCAATTAAGAAGAGAAGGTTTCATAAAATTGTATCAGAAGGGAGGGCAGATTTGTGTTTCATTCAAGAATATAAAATTTAGGTAATTGAGGATGAGGTGGTGAGAAGCATATGGGGAAGGGATGGTTGTGAATGGTACGTTGTAGCTCCTGATAATTTCAATTTGGCTAAGAATGTTTGAATGGTACATTGTAGCTCCTGATAATTTCAATTTGGCTAAGAATGTTTGTTTTTCAATGTTCAGCTTCAGAGGAAAAGGTTATCTAGGGATCAATTGTTTGTGGAAAGGCTTCAATTGTTATTTTGTCAATGTTTATTCATCGTGTGCAATTGGGGAACAGAGAAAAATATGGTCTGAATTGATTGAGAGTTTCCTAAGGGAGAATGGTTAATTGGAGGAGATTTTAATGCATTTAAATTGAAGGAAGAAAGGCAAGGCAATGGAAAGGCTGATATGGCAGCAATGGAGGATTTTTCAATGTTCATGGAGGTAATGGAATTGGTTGATCTTCCATTGATTGGAAATAAATTTCGTGGTTTAATTCCAATGGTAAATGTAAGAGTAGACTAGATAGCTTCCTTATATTGGAAATTTTGATTAAGGAATGGGACGTTATGGTTCAACATGTTGGTAAGCGGGATATATCGGATCATAGACCAATTTGGCTAAAAACAAGCAAGATCAATTGCGGGACGAAACCTTTTAAGGTTTTCAGTTATTTGTTTGATCATCCCGAGTTTATGGATTTCGTAAGTAAGGTGTGGAATGAAGCTCTATTTCCGGGTAGCAGTTGCCAAGTTATTATAAAGACACTCAAATGGCTGAGAGATCATTTGAGATGGTGGAATACAAACATGTTTGGTTGGATCGATTTGAAGGTAGATAATGGGATTGATTCTCTAAACTGGATTGAATATGCTATGTCATGTAATAGAGGAGACTCAATAGAGGAGTAGTTACGAGCAAGATGTGAGTCATAAAACTTAATGTGGAATAATATATATATATATATATATATATATATATATATATATATATATATATATATATATATATATATATATATATATATATATATATATATACATATATATATATATATATATATATATATATATATATATACATATATATATATATATATATATATATATATATATATATATATATATATATATATATATATATATATACACACACACATGTGTGTGTGTGTGTGTGTGTGTGTGTGTGTGTGTGTGTGTGTGTGTGTGTGTGTGAAGGAGAGCATACTAAAACAGAAATCGAGGCTAACATGGGTTAGAGAGGGAGACCTAAATTTAAAATACTTCCACTCCTTCATGAAATGCAGAACAAGAAACAATTTCATTTCGTCCATTCAAGTAGGTGGGAATATATCAGAGGAAATTCATGTGGTGAAGAAGACTACAAAAAAGTTTTTTGAGAATAAATTTCAAAAGTCGGGATGTAAAAGACCAGTTTTGAATATGTAGGATATGCCGAAGCTCACTACTACAGACACTGAAATGCTGGAAGAATTGTTTTTGGCAGAAGATATTTTGGATGCCATCAACGGGTGCGATGGGTATAAATGCCCTGGCCCGATGGATTTAATATTGACTTCATCAAGCGGAGTTGGGGTGTGGTAGGCGCAGATATGACGTGGTGCATACAAGAATTCCATACAACTTATACTTTGCCAAAAACGCTTGTATCCTCATTCATTGCTTTAATCTCAAAAAACTTGAACCCTCAACATTTCGAAGAATATCGTTCTATAAATCTTGTGGGGTGTATCTACAAGATAATTTTAAAGATCATGGCGCCAAGGTTATGCAAGGTTATGGACAGGTTGGTTTCAATATCACAAACAACTTTCATACCTTGTAGGAAAATCTTAGATGGTATTTTGGTTGTGAATGAACTGGTAGATCACGTTAAAAGGAAGAACAAAAGGTGAATCTTATTTGATGTTGATTTTGCACAAGCGTACGATTGTGCAGAGTGCGACTTTTTGTAAAATGTCTTGAAGGCGATGGACTTTGGAGCAAAATGGTGTAAGTGGATTAGAGGAGGTGTATGGAACAACTTTCTTTCTGTGTTGGTAAATGGAAGTACTACGGAGGATTTCAAATGCTTTAGAGGCCTACTACAAAGGGACCCTTTTGTCGCCATTTTTCTTTGTGCTGGTGGCAGAGGCTCTTGCGTTGTTAGTTAGAAGAGCGGTAATCAACAATGTGTTCAACGAATTACAATTGAATGGAGGAAAATCACTAGGGCTAATTCTGATGAGTCCAAGCTTTTGAGGTTGGCATCAATTTTGGTAAAACTAACTTGACAGCTAGATGATGGACAAGATGTCCTAACAAGAAGAACTAACTCGAGATCGATTTTTTAGAAGAGATGTCCTATCATGATGATTCGACATCTTTGTCTGTTACTTTTCAGCTTTTTATTATGTTTTTTTATTTCCATATTTGAGATTATTCTGGGAATATTTGTTTATCCTAGGTGACGTTCAAGATTGAGGAATCAGAGATTCTGTAGGAATCTGAAGATGTCATTTTCTAAGTGTGGAGTCACTTTAGGAAACTTTAGATTGAAGAAACTATTCTTTTGGAGAATCAGTTGCAGATTCTGTGTAACAGAATTGCTGCATTTTTGAAGCTTAAATCCAGTCTAGTTTATGGTTATAAATAGAATGGATTTAACCTAAGAAAAGTGTGGAATATACATTGTTGCTTAGTGTGTATTAAGGTTTGTATTTTGTGAGCCTCCCTCGTGCGTGTTGATACTTGAGCTGGTTTGTTTACATTGAGTTGTAATTTTTGTCACTGTTGTGATTGAAAGGGAATTGAGAAGGGTCTCATACCTAGGAGGATTCTTAGGTAGAAATTAAGAACGGGTAGTGATTAAGTGATAATTTGTAAATCGGAGGTTTTTTAGCTTAGAATTAATATTATCTAGTGGATTTCATTTCTGGCATGGTAGCCCCCAGACGTAGGTGTTGTTGTTCAACGAACGGAGTTAATAATTACTGGGTGTTTGTTTACTTTCTGTAAGTTTTTATTGTGCCGCTTCTTGTCATTGTTCTTAGCAGAGATCAAGTGTCTCGAAATCTCTCAAGACATCAGAGATTTGCATACCAAAATTTCAATTGGTATCAGAGCAGGCATCCTGCTCTACATCTGGTTGAGATTCAGTGAGGTTACTTTTTGATACAATGGACAAAGAAGGGGGAATATTAAATAGATCGCCTATTCTTGATGGATCCAATTATGAATATTGGAAAGTGCGTATGGTGGCCTTTATCAAGTCTATGGATGGTAAATCTTGGAAATTTGTGATCAAAGAATGGGATCCTCCAAAGGTTAAAGATCAACAAGGTAAGATTACTGATGTTATAAAGCTTGAGGAAGACTGAGATGATGAAGATGACAAGCTAGCTCAAGGTAATTCTAAAGCATTGAATTCCTTATTCAATGGTGTGGACAAGAATATTTTCAGGTTGATTAAGAATTGTATTGTTGCCAAGGAGGCTTGGGAGATTTTGAAGACTGCGCATGAAGGAACTTCTAGGGTGAAATCATCTAGACTTCAACTTCTCAAAGCCAAGTTTTAAAATTTGAAGATGAGAGAAGATGAAAGCATTCAAGACTTTTATATGAACATTATTGATATAGCCAATACTTCAAGTGATCTTGGAGAAAAGATTCCAGAAGCCAAGTTGGTCCAAAAAATTCTAAGATCTCTTCCCAAGAAGTTTGACATGAAGGTAATTGTCATTAAAGAAGCTCAAGATATAAATACCCTAAAATGGATGAACTCGTGGATTCTCTTCAAA